GACCAGTGTCCCAAGCAGCATAGCATAGCCCGTCAGGACCTGGAGCAGCCCACGGCGCTTTCCCCAATAACCGAGAGACACCTTCGATCATGGGGGGGGGGGGGATCTCGGAGAAGTCCTGGCTGCTCGAGAAGCGCTCGAATACTGACAACCACCATCCACAGGGGCCTTGGAGAAGACAGGGGCCCAGTGCTCGTTTAGTGCATCGACGCGCTGGTGATCTGAGGAGGAGGGCGCAGCTGAGGAGGGCGAACTGTGAGCACGCACTTCATCAGATGCGCTCTCCTCCAAAATGCCTGCCAGATACCTGCGCCGCAACGGAGGGTTCCATAGTTGCGCCGACCTCGCAGCTGCGCTTCTGCCCGATCAGTCGGGAACGAGTGCTTGGTGACGCAGCTTGTGACAACGCATTTTCCACTTCTTTACGGCGGGCAGCGGCTTCCTGTCTCTGCAGATGGGCACGCAAATCATTGAACAGAGGGGTCCACCAGAGATACACTGAAGCCCCGGATAAATCAGCGCTTCTGCACCCAAGGAAACTGAAACCGAAGAGCACCTGCTAGCTTGTAACCTTGTCTCCGCAGACATCGAGCAAGCGATCGCGCTACCATCGCTCGGGGCGCGAGCGAGGAGGGCGGGGAACGCAAGAGTGTCGCGGACAAGAGCTCCAGCAGACTGCCTGACACGGGTGGCCATCGTCAGCATCCTGGGAGGGGGGGGGGGCGATGCCTACTAGCTCTTCAAGCTCGCGAACGGCACGATCATATAGTTCGTCGTGATAAACCTACTTAGGAAGAGGCCGCTGACGGGCCGTCTGGTCAGATCTTGAACCCCAAGAGACCACTAGAGGAGCGTGATCTGAGAGGCCTTGCCGAAACAGTTCCTGAGGTTCGCCTAGGACTCGAGCTGACTGGAAGGATCGACAGAGAACCCATGGAGGAGAAGCGGTGGAACATCGATCAATGTTGCTCGCAGACTGCGTGCCCTCGCGCCAGTGCGTGGGCGCGTCCGACGCTAGCTCGGTCATCGCCCTGGAGATTTTGCGCCAGATACTGTCACCAGGGCGCCCTGCTCTCGTCGAGACAGCTCGGGCCGAGGAACGCAAGGAACGCGAAGCTCTGGCTGATCCAGGTGCGCCAGCCCTTGAAGTAGAACCCGAAATCGTAGAAGCTCTGCCCCTTTCAGAGACTTCCTCGCGCTCAATCGCAGCGGCACGCTCACGGCCCTCAGCTGGGAGATAGAAGTCGCCAATCAGAATCACTGAGGACCTTGCAGGCGCACGCCTGACTTCACGGAGCTGCTCTCGGACACGCACCTGCAGCCGGAGAAGTTGCTCACGCTCGATCCCATGATTGTGGATATTCCAATGGTACAGTGTAAACCCACTTCGCACGCATACAATCTTGAGTAATAACACTCGCCCAGGAACCAAAACTTCAGGTGAGACTTCAACAGTATCAACCTTAGGAACTAATGTGAGAACACCTCCTGATCGCGGCGCCCCACTGTGCGAGACGAACGGGAGGTGGGTGATGGCGACGCGCTGGAGAGCCCCCCGAACTGCAGCATCATCACCGTGAACTTCTTGAACGGCAACTAATGCATCGGCTTGAGAGATCCCCCTCAGCATCCCCAGCCGCTTGGACATCTCCGTGGAGTTGAAGTGGTGGAGCGAACTCGCACTCCATGATGCTAGCGCAAGTTAGTCATGACCAAATATTTTGCTACCCAATCCACTGAACTTCACGATCGGAGAACGTCCTTCTTGCCAGCGATGCAGCTGCTTCCTTATTGAGGCCGGCGTCCGCGAGAGCAGCGATATTCCATTCCACATGAGGAACACGGGAGGATGAACTTGGTGTGATCTTGGCCAGCGGCTCCCCCACTTGGCGAGGAGCTGACCGCCTTCGCGATCGATGAAGGTTGTGACTCCGAATTCATATGAAATAGCACGTGGAAGTTTCTTGCGCGCCATCTCCGTGGCGATATTCTTCCGATTCTCGTCGGCCGATACGCACAGGGGGATGTTCTTGGTGACGAGCTGGATGTGGAAGCACCTCCACTGTCCAGATGGAAGGCGAAGTGCAGCTTGGGCCTGCTTGCGCCGATTCTCACGAGTAGCGGGATGTGGGCCCTGGAATACAAGCATGAACTGCTTCGCGAACTCGTCCCCCTGCAGCACACCTCCTCGCCGCTCGATGTTGGCCGCCTGGGGCCACTGCTTGATGGCCCCTTTTCGACAGAGGGACTGGTTAAGGAACGCGCACATGCATGATCACCTCTCTGTCCCAGTCGGCGGATCGGCAATAGGGAGGTTGCGAGGTTTGGCTTTCGCCTTCAAGGTCGAGCTCGCGCTAAAGATGGAAGCGCTTTCCTCCATGGCCGCGAACTTTGTCTCGAGCTCGCGCTGACTGCAGCTGGGACTGTGGCTGTTCTTGACGTACGGAAAACGGAATATGCTGATTGAACTTCTTCATACTGGTTGAGGAGGGGGGCCGTGGGCTTGACCAGCGCACATGCATCGGAGGGTCTCACTGAGGGTAGCCATGGCTTTCGCCGCGAACTCCTTGAGGGCTTGGTCCTTGAATTCAAATGCTGCAAATCTCCGCTCTGGGATTCTCCAAGGTTCTCGAGCACCTGACTGTCCAGATGGAAGGCGAAGTGCAGCTTGGGCCTGCTTGCGCCGATTCTCACGAGTAGCGGGATGTGGGCCCTGGAATACAAGCATGAACTGCTTCGCGAACTCGTCCCCCTGCAGCAGCACCTCCTCGCCGATAGAGATGTTGGCCGCCTGGGGCCACTGCTTGATGGCCCCTTTTCGACATTCTTCCGAGGGACTGGTTAAGGAACGCGCACATGCATGATCGTCGGGTCGACCTCTCTGTCCCAGTCGGCGGAGGCAATAGGGAGGTTGCGAGGTTTGGCTTTCGCCAGGTCGAGCTCGCGCTAAAGATGGGCAAGCCTTTCCTCCATGGCCGCGAACTTTGTCTCGACCGCGCTGACGCGCTGGGACTGTCTGTCGAGGTCTTGACGTAGAAAACGAATATGCTGATTGAACTTATCTTCATACTGGTTGAGGAGGGGGGCCGTGGCCTTGACCAGCGCACATGGGAGGGTCTCACTGAGGGTAGCCATGGCTTTCGCCGCGAACTCCTTGAGCGCTTGGTCCTTGAAATGCTGCAAAGAGCTCTGGGCCCAAGGGTCGAGATGAGCACCTGCTGGAACGTGCTCACCTGGAGGGCCCGCGGGCGTCGCACAGGGGCCGCCCTCTTGATCCGCGGATTGTACACCACCACGAAGCTCTTGCGATGGGAACGTTGCCACACCTTGAGTGTTGCCGCCCCATTCGCCCAGCATGTTGGCGTCGTCGATGCCATGCCCCCGTGCTCCGTACACTTCAGGCAGTGCGCGTGGGCTGGCAGAGACAGCAGGGGGGGTGGACACGGAGCATGCCCAGGCCGAGGCTGACGAAGCTGACCTCGGATGCTGGGGCGGGCGAGCCCGTCGTTGGAGGCAACAGAAGACAGATCGGAGCGAGGGGAAGCAACCCTGCGCGGACGCCGTTCACCATCCGGCTTCTTGCGGTCCCGCTTCTCCTTGGCGGAGTGCCGCACGACGCGCCTTCTTCCTGAGCGCTCGCCATCAGCTCCCATGCGGCACGGGTGTGGGAAGGGGAAAGCGGGCGGAATATCTGCCAGACACCAAGTGTCTTGCCAGCCGTGGACTAGCGGCATCTGTTTGTCTCCCGCGGAAAACAGGCATCTTGAGCCAAAATGGCTACGGGGGCGGAGGAGGAGGAGGAGGAGGGGGAGGAGGAGGAGAAGAGGGAGCAGGAGGGGAGGAGGAAGAGCTCAACCGACATCGGCTACGGAAGGACTCTCCAGGATCCACCTGACGGCTGCCTTCTGATGCTCCTTGAAGGACTTCAACCGAACCGAGAGGATCTCGTCGCACGGCGCACGTCGAACGTCATCGGCCGTCCTGGGGCCTCTCGGGGCCTCTCGGGGGCCTCTCGGGGGCCTCTTGCGAATCTATTGGGCCCTCCTGGGCGGCCTCTCGAAGTGGAAGGCTCCACTTGTCGGTTCGGGCTCCCCCATATTGGGCCTCTCTTGGGGCCGCGTTGGGGCCCTCCTGGGCCGTCGTAGGCGGCTCGTAGACCGTCTTGGGGCCCTCCTGGCCGCGTTGGCGAAGTCCTTCAAAAACACATAGATAATCAACGAATTTGGGCTCTCGGGGCTCTGTTGGGAGTCCTCTTGGAGCTTTCTTGTGGCGTCTGGGGGGCCTCTTCCGGGTTTCTTCGGGGCTTCTTGGGGCAGAAATCTCGAGTGGTCGGTTCGGGCTTCCGTCCTGGAGTCCCTCGTGGGGCCGGTTTGGGGCCCTCCTGGGCGTGCTGGGCGCCTCCTGGGCCATTTGGGGGCCCTCTCGGGTAGCCCTGGCGCCCTCTTGGGGGCTTCGCGGGCTTCATTGGGGCAATCCCGGGGGCCTCTTGGGCTGCTTTCGAGCGTCGGGAACCCGAGAAGGCGAGATGACCAAAATCCTTCGAACATCTACAGAAAATAAGCAGTTGTTGGCTCTCAGGGCTCTCTCAGGGGTCCTCGTGGGGCCTTCTTGCGGCGTCTGGGTGGCCTTTTGGAGGCCTCTTGGGGCTTCTTCGGGGCCTCTGGGGGCCTCCCGGGCGCCTCTTTTGGCGGAAAGCTCGAATTGCCGGCTGGATTTCCCAACCTTTTTTTTTCATCCGGCGCCAGTCTGCAGCAACATCCTGCGGGTCGTGGCGACAGCAGCCCCACACTGCTCCTGCGTCGAGCACTACTCTATCTGCAATTCGTGGCAAAAAATGCGCCCTTGTCGTCTGGCAAGGGATTCCGGAATGAACGCAGCCCGAAACGCGCACAAGCACCGCGAACGCTCGGACGAGCACCAGCGATACGGTCGGCTCACAGTCACGCCAATATGGTGACAGGGCCTCGTGCTTGAGTAGCTCAGTCACTTGGTCAGATCTCTCACTTGCTCAAGAGGTTCACTCCGCCCTGAAGGATCACGCGCGCAGCTTGAAACACCTCTGGCGGGCAGCCAGCGCTCGCATTGGCTTTCAACTCAGCCATCTTCTCCTCCATCAGTGCCATTTGTCTCACGCGCTGCAGCTGCGGCATGCACAGCGTCTTCGTCTTCTCGCCAGCGCAAGGGGGCTGGATTTCCCAATCTTGGGCTTCTCTTGGGCGCCTTTGGGGGCCCGTTTGGGCCGTCTTGAGCGTCTCTTGGGCCGTCCTGGGGCTCTCTTGGGCAGTCTTGGGGCCCTCTGGGGCGCCTCTTGGGCCGTCTTTGGGCGGTCTTGGGAGCTTCTGAGGTCGTCGCGCACGGACCGACAGCGAAAACAAGCAATATGTTAAACATCTACGTTTTACGAAGGGAATGGGGCTATTTTGGCCCCTTTGGGCTCTCTTTGGGGCCTTATTGGAGGTCGCTTGGGGTGTCTTGGGGGCTTCTGAAGCCGCCTTGGAGGCCATGTTGGGCGTCTGGGAGCGACCTTCGGGCGCCCCGGGTCTGTTCTGGAGCCTCTTGGGGCCTCCTTGGCGCCTTCTGGCGGCCTCCTGTGAGGCTCCGGGGCTCCCCGAGGGCCCCGGGGCCCACATTTGCGGCAGCGGCGCTGGCCCCGGGCGCCCGGGCCCGGTGCGCCGCTATATGTATATAGTGAGGGGTTGTAGGGTTGGGCGCGGCGGGCATTCGCATAATCTTGAAACTTTGGAACTTGAGCCAAAATGGGAAGCGGCCGATGATTGGCTGGTTGCCCTACTTGGTTCAAGGCCCTGAGCATGCCAGCTAGAATGTGCAGAGGCATCAAGTCACACATGCATGCCAAGCACAAGTACAGCACCCTGCCACACTCGTGATGGGTACACATATGCAGGATATTGGACTGGCTAGCTGGCCCAGTGGCCAAGGCTCGCGGCTCTATGGCCGAGATGCTAGCAAACCAAGTCGCTGACCTCGCCTAGGCCCTGGCTGGCCTGGGCCTGAGCTTGGGCGACTTCCCCGCTACTTCCTTTCTTCCTCGCCTCCATTCTTCGGGCCTGGGGGCGGAGTCACACGAGACAGAGAGAGGAATATCAGTCCCTATCGCTCTTCCATTTGTGCTGACATAAAACCACATGCTCAGGTCAAGCACAATATCCATCACGATAGCAAGCTCAGGAGCAGCCGCCCCCTTCCATCTAATTATCCTGGCGAAGGACACAACCATATGCAAACGTGAATACCGCAGGGCCGGGGGGACGAAGCAAAAGGAATTCCCCATGCGGCCACGAACCGTGTGAGGGGTGCGCCACACTGGGGCGGGGCCGCCATGCGAACCCTGCCACTGAGGCCTTCGGTGGAGCTCCCTATGTCCCTGCGGGGCCACGAACCGTGTGAGGGGTGCGCCAGTATGGGGCGGGGCCGCCGTGCGAACCCTGCCATTGGGGCCTTCGGTGGAGCTCCCTATGGGGCCACGAACCGTGTGAGGGGTGCGCGAAAATGAGGCGGGGCCGCCATGCGAAGCCTGCCACTGGGGCCCTCGGTTGAACCCCCTATGGGGCCGCGAACCGTGTGAGGGGTGCGCCAGAATGGGGCGGGGCCGCCATGCGAACGCAGCCACTGGGGCCTTCGGTGGAGCTCCCTATGGGGCCACGAACCGTGTGAGGGGTGCGCCAGGATGGGGCGGGGCCGCCATGCGAACGCAGCCACTGGGGCCTTCGGTGGAGCTCCCTATGGGGCCACGATCCTGTGAGGGGTGCGCCGAATGGGGCGGGGCCGCCATGCGAACGCAGCCACTGGGGCCTTCGGTGGAGCTCCCTATGGGGCCACGAACCGTGTGAGGGGTGCGCCAGAATGGGGCGGGGCCGCCATGCGAACGCAGCCACTGGGGCCTTCGGTGGAGCTCCCTATGGGGCCACGAACCGTGTGAGGGGTGCGCCAGAATGGGGCGGGGCCGCCATGCGAACGCAGCCACTGGGGCCTTCGGTGGAGCTCCCTATGGGGCCACGAACCGTGTGAGGGGTGCGCCAGAATGGGGCCTGTGAGGGGTGCGGGGGCGGGGCCGCCATGCGAACGCAGCCACTGGGGCCTTCGGTGGAGCTCCCTATGGGGCCACGAACCGTGTGAGGGGTGCGCCAGAATGGGGCGGGGCCGCCATGCGAACGCAGCCACTGGGGCCTTCGGTGGAGCTCCCTATGGGGCCACGAACCGTGTGAGGGGTGCGCCAGAATGGGGCGGGGCCGCCATGCGAACGCAGCCACTGGGGCCTTCGGTGGAGCTCCCTATGGGGCCACGAACCGTGTGAGGGGTGCGCCAGAACCGTGTGAGGGGTGCGCCAGAATGGGGCGGGGCCGCCATGCGAACACCACAGGATGGTTGGAAACTAATGGCCATGGCGATGATGATGACGATGATGATGCTAGTGGTGATGATGACGATGATGATGATGATGATGATGACGATGATGGGAGAAGAGAGGAGGGCAGCGGGAGGTGAGACGCGGGGCGCTGTCTCTTCAAAACGAGGACCCAACACCACAGGATGGTTGGGAAAAAAGAGGACGCTGCAACCCCCCCCAACCCACCGAAGGGACGCGCCGTGAACTGGCCGACCCGCGACCCGCAACCCTGCAGGGCCCCGGGCCCCCATCGTGCCAGTCGCCGGACCTTTTCAAAAATATATTTGGGGACTCAGCAAGTATTCCTGTGAAGTTCCACCATGGTTGTGCTCTGGAGGCGGGGTTCTCCTCCAGAGACTTTCAATGGTCTTCCCGATCTATGCCCGAGCCCGGGATTGAAGCGGGGACCCCCGTCATCCCCGTTCATATCCTTATCCGCTCGAGCACTCACGCCATTGTGCCAGTCACCGGACGTGAGTCAACGGCCTTCCAGACGGGGACCGGGACGAGCTGTCGGAGAAACCGGGAGACGGATGCGACCGCGACGACTTATGGAAGACGTCCTCGAGCTCGAGTGGTTGATTCTAGCGCTGCGGAGCCTAGGCATTCTGCCGGCTCTCCAGTGGGGAACCCCCGCTTGTCCTGACCCCTGTCCGGGAAGCCGGTGGATTGGCCTGGGTGACCTCAGAGAAAAAGACGCGCTCCTAGAAATCCGGCCCCTACGGCGGAGCTACATACCAAGATCCCGCAAACCAAGATCTGTTGAGACAAAAATTCGAAACCTCCCGGCGCGGACTGTCACAGCGTGAGCCGCTGCGGCGCACACGGGCCCTTGACAGGCGGAGCCTCGCCTGGGGCGCCGGCGCCTAACGGCCCGCCGCCAGGGTGCATACATACATTTGCGCGGCGAACCGAAGCGAGCAACCCAATAGTAACTCAAGTCAAGCATTGCGAGATGCCCTCTTCTTCTGAAGCCCATCCTGCCATCTGGAAGAGAGAGAATACAACGAGTAGGTATCCATAGTACTGCAGGCTTTCGCCCCCAGGAGAAATACAGTTCAAATTAACAGAGAACGATGGGCCTGGGCATCTACTCTAGCCCTCCAAGGCCCATCTCTGATACCATATAAAGAGATCCATTCGAATACAGGCCAGGACCTTTCTGGCCATCACAAAAGTTGAAATGTGGGAGAATATAAGAGTGGATACTCCCGCGATACAGTTGGATCTTCATCAGGTTCGGAGTCACTGTCTGCCTCAAGGAGCCACTGAATGCCTGCATGTCCACAGGACTGCTGGTGCTGAAGGATCGCCTTCTTGGAGCCGAAGGTCTTCAAGCAAACCATGCAGCAGGGGATGTCCCCATGCCCCGTTGCCTCTTGGTGCTGAATGCACGCTTGCTCGGTTCTGAATTCCCTGTCGCACTGCATGCAGAACCATACGGGATCTCTCGTGTCATTCACCCGCACGTGGCCCTTATGGCCTGTGTCTTTCTGGTGCTGCAGGCACTGTTGTAACTCATCAAAGGCCCGATTGCACTGCGAGCATGCACACAGCGGCTCGCGCCCCTTGCAAAACCAATGTTTGCTAACCATCTGGTCCCAGTCCTTGAACGACTTCCCGCACTCCCTGCACACGAGGCGGGCGTCGGCGTCCTTCGCCTTGGCCTTGGCCTTGGCGTTGTCCGTCTTGGGGTTGTCCAATGCGTGGGAGAAACGGCAGGCCGTCCCATTCTTGCACTTGCCCTGCCGGAAGAATGAGCAAGGCGGCTTGTGTGCGAACGGGCAGGCCGCGCCGTTCTTGCAGGCACCCTTCGCATAGTACCGGCATTCCTGCTGCTGCTTCTGGCCCCCCGCGTTGGAGCTGCCAGGCGGGCTATCAGCTGGTTTGTCCCCTGCCTGTTTGTCCTCAGCCTTGGCCTTGGCCTCCGGACTGGCAGCTGATTTGTCCGCTGCCTGTTTGTGCTCAGCCTTGGCCTTGGCCTTGGCCTTGGCCTTGGCCTTGGCCTCCGGACTGGCAGCTGATTTGTCCGCTGCCTGTTTGTCCTCAGCCTTGGCCTTGGCCTTGGCCTTGGCCTCCGGACTGGCAGCTGATTTGTCCGCTGCCTTTTTGTCGTGCGCGTTCCCTTTCGCTGCACTGTAGCGCTCGAAGAACTCCTCCTTCTCGATCCACTCGACCCTGACTCGGAACTGTTCGTCCTCCATCTCCTTCTTGATCGCCCGCACCAAATGCGGCTGCCGAGCCATCTCCGAGTCGCAGTTCTTGCCGCCTGCGATGCATATGATCAGGGCCTTCTCCGCACCCATGGTCTGGGCCTTCGTCACGGTGGCCATGACCACCTTGGCCTCCCACTTGGGGATCCAGTCCTTGCCGCTGAGAGATTTCACCATATCGCCTGCCTTGCCAAACGCCTTCTGGATCCCGTGCTGCCTGCACAATGCCGCCACCTCGTCATGAAAGGCCTCAGGGCAGGAGGCGCAGACTGCCGCCTCCATGGTTTCCTGCAGCCGCCCCTTCCGGCTCCGACCCCGCGCACCGCCGGTGCGCTACAGGTGGACCAGCCGCAGACTTGAGTCAAAATGGCTTCTACAAATTAGCGATATAGAATCATGGAACCTAGGTGATGTACATTATGTTGAACTCAAAGTGCATGAAAACGTCTGGAACAAACTCTTTGTCCGCCTCCAGGGACCAGAACTCCCGGCCTACAGCCGAACCTTCCCAGAAGAGACTCCTGGAGAACCCGCTTTGACTCAAAAGATCGTGAAACGCCGCACCAATAAACTACACGGTGCGTTGAGAACATCCACCCTCTCCATTCAAAAGGCTGTTGGACTCAAATTGCTTGACCACCTCCAACGACCAGAATTTCCCGGCTTATTTTGTCTTTTTGGACTCAGCGAGTATTCCATTGAATTTCCATCAAGGTTGTGCTCTGGAGGCGGGGTTCTCCTCCAAATTGCTCAAATTGCTTGACACGCATATGATATATATATATAATATATATATATATATATATATGCGTGTGTGCTTACATAAACCTATATATACACACATACATACATGTTGGAGGGCTCTTGGGCTGTGTGTTGGCCGTGTTGGGCCCATCTGGGGCCACGTTGGGGCCATCAGGGCCGCCTTGGGGCCTCACGCCCCCGCTTTGGGGCCAGCTTGGGCCTGTCTTGGGTTTTTTTTGAGCCGTCTGAGGCTCGTCCCGGGCAATTTTCGGGCTCCCTGGGGCAGTCTTGGGGCTCTGTTGAAAGCCTTTTCGGCGGTCTTGGGGCGGTCTCGGGGGCGTCGTCGGCTGTCGTGGAGCGCCTGGAGGTCGAAAACGCGAGACACCGAACAACATCGCAAAAACCAATGGAAATCAAGGATTTGAGCCTCTTCGGGCTCTCGCGGGATGCTTATCGGAGCTCTCTTGAAGCCTCTTGGAGGCCTTGTATTGGCGGTCTCGAACCCATCTTGGGCCACGTTTGGGCTATCTGGGCTGCCTTTGAAGGACTTGTCGCAGTCCCCGGAGGCTTCTGGGAGCTCTCTGGGGCAGTCTGGGAGCTCCAGGGCCGCTCCGGGGTGCTCTGGGAGCGGTCTGGGAAAGCGTGGTCATCCCATGCCCTGTCGTGGTCGCGGCCCCGGGCGCCCGGGCCTCGTGCACGGGGGCACACACACAAATGTAATGATACAAATGACTATATGTTTATATATTAATACAGATACATATACAGCTACAGATACATATACATATTCATATACATATACACATACATATACATATACACATACAGGAAACTCGAAGTTCGAAGCTCGAACCTCGCGGAGGGACGAAGAATGGAGGAGGGAGGGCGGCGGACGACGACGACGACGACGACGACGACGACGACGACGACGACGACGACCACGACGACGACGACGACGACGACGACGACGACGACGACGACGACGACGACGACGACGACGGCGAGGGAGGCGGGCGGAAATCGAGGGGGGACGGGGGATGGGGGCGCAGGGGAGAAGAGGGAAGCGGCGTCGTCGGACCAAATCCACTCACAGCGGATCCCTAGACCCCTCCCCGGGTCCAAACGAGCAAGCGCAACAGGGGCGGGAGCAGAAGGCGCTGGGAGCGAGAGGGGAGGCGGAAGAGGAGGAGGCGGAGCGTGCACCGGAAGAGTTCGCTCCCTCTGCCCGCTACGCGGCGGGCGCCGGGGGCCGGCCTGCCTCCATGAGGTCTCAGGCGGCGTTCTCAACGGAGACGAGGATGACAAAGTACCCGATGACGAACATGAAGCGACAGCGAAGATCATGGCCTGGTCGATCTTCGGCCATGCGTCGCCTTGCTCAGGAACGGAGGGGGCGAGTGGCCCTCGAGCCCCCGCGGCCCCGCATCGCCGCCGAGGCTGGGAGATGCGGGCCCGCCGCCCCTGAGATGGAGAGACGGCGAAGTCGAGGAAGAGGCCCTCGCGGGGCGGCACCTCGGAGGTCGAGGCGGGCTCGAAGTGGACGAGCTCGAGGAACGTGTCGAAGGGGCGGAGGAACACAATGAAGAGGTGGCAGCGCGCGGTCTGGCCTCGACGACCGCAGTGCGGAGGGCGGCCCTGGACATGAGCCGTCGGGAAGGTCCGCGTAGTGGAAGCCTAATGGCCAGCCTGGTAGCTTCCACCAGCTCGCTTGCCGCCACGTAATCTGCCAGCTCGATTCTGTGGCTCATCAGCCGATAGTGGTGGTACATCGCGATGATACTTGCGACAGACGACCCTCGGAGCCCAAGACGGTGAGCTGGGCATCTTGGAAGGTCGCACCGCAACGCCAACGCAGCAAAGTGGTGGCACCTCGAGCAGTTGATCACCAGGTGGCGAACTGTGTCTGGTTGATCTGGACAACCGTAGATGCATGGCGCAACCCGTTGCATACGTCGATTCGCGATCCATCCACCCAAGTACGTCCGAAGGCAGACCATCGCCCAGGACTTCGGAATCTTGAGAAGCTGCTGTCGGACGTGGGCGAAGTCGATGTCTGTGATACCGTAGCGAGCGAAAAGCCGTCGTCAGCCGAAGCTGAACTACAGCACGAGATAAGACCGCGGCAAAGATCGCTTGCCACTTGAGCCTGGGTAGATGCGGGTCATCATTGGCTGGTTGGTGCTGGGATATCCGACACAGAGGCCCTGGAAGAGGGTCATTCTGAAAAAGCGCGAGGACTGAGCTCGGGGTAAGTCTACCCACCGGATTGCCAAACCTCAAAAGCAGAAAAACCACCACGGGCGAGTCTGGCGTCGGGTGGGAAGCCTTTGGCCGCTTCCTCCAGGAAGCATGCAAATGGGGCTGACTTCCAAAACGCGGGGGGCCAACGCTGACGAAGCCTACAAATCTGCAGCCCCATTGAAAACAATAAGATCTCGATGTGCCTGGGGACGTCTGCGCCATGATGTACACGTGACAAGTGTAGTTCTCATACGCGCCGCTGCAGCAATAATGACAGTAGAGGCGAAATTAAGCCCATTCCATCATCCAGATTGATGAAGTTACCTAGGCGAAGCATACTGCTGGGTGTACGCAATAGGCGTGCTACTAGATGTCGCTGCTCCTGCATAGCCGCCCACTCGAGGGGGACGAGTTGGGCAACGTAGCTCAGCACTGGGAGAGCACGCTCACGATGCAATCTGGCAAGAAACTCAGTAGGAGCACCTTGGCGGCTGAGGTCGACTGTACGAGTCGCATGCTTATCCAGCGGCCCACTCCACTGATCAGCAATAGTCGCCGATGGTCCGATCTGAAATCCCAAGTATGTGCACTGCGTGGCAAACGTGAAATGCGTCCACATGGTGTCAGCAGCAGTAAGTTGAGCTCGCACCTCGGCGCTTGCATCAGGGCACGATGGGTGGCGCAGAGGAATCACGATACATTTCTTGCGTTTGAGGTGCAACTTGGCGAACGCTGCCGCGAGCCGAAATATTCTGGCGAGCCGACGATAAGCACGATTCCTGAAAATGACAACCCCCAGCTCATCAGCACACGACCGTGCAACACCCAAACACATGCCTGCGCAGACCATGGATGCTTCGATATCAAGAATGAATGGGTTGGCGGCGATTATGTAAAGCGAACCACTGAGCGGGCATCCTTGTAGGACACCAGACCGTATATAGACTAAGAACAACTGCGAGGCACCAGGGCAGAAGCACATAGTGCAATAATATAAGTCTGCAAGGGCTTTGGCTAGTGACGGAGGGGGGCGAAGATGCCGAAGACACAAGAATAGCAACGACTGGCTAACTGACGGGAATTCCTGGGCGCAGTCAAACGTCATCAGAGAAGGTGTCTGATCAGGGTGCTGCTGGGCCAGGACACTAGCGGCTCGCGCATAGAGATCCAAGTCCGTAATATTGTTGAGGAAGTTTCTGTTCCTGATAAAACCATTCTGCGATTTGGCACCTATAGCCTGTGTGGCCCTGTTGAGACACCTATTGAGGACTCCACACACCACATCGTTGCTCGTATGTTTGGGGCCCAGAGGGCGCGCCTCAGAAGCTTTGCGAAACGCGCCACCTTCAGCAGGCTCATCTTGGGATCCCTTGGGAGGCTTGGGGGGGAAGGCAGCGAGTAATGCCGAAAAGGCCGGGACCATAAAGTGCCCCATAGAGATCCAACGTAGCACAGCTAACAGGATTCGAGGACCCAGACCAGTGTCCCAAGCAGCATAGCATAGCCCGTCAGGACCTGGAGCAGCCCACGGCGCTTTCCCCAATAACCGAGAGACACCTTCGATCATGGGGGGGGTGGGGGGGGATCTCGGAGAAGTCCTGGCTGCTCGAGAAGCGCTCGACATACTGACAACCACCATTGGGGACCACAGGGGCCTTGGAGAAGACAGGGGCCCAGTGCTCGTTTAGTGCATCGACGCGCTGGTGATCTGAGGAGGAGGGCGCAGGGGAAGCTGAGGAGGGCGAACTGTGAGCACGCACTTCATCAGATGCGCTCTCCTCCAAAATGCCTGCCAGATACCTGCGCCGCAACGGAGGGTTCCATAGTTGCGCCGACCTCGCAGCTGCACGCTTCTGCCCGATCAGTCGGGAACGAGTGCTTGGTGACGCAGCTTGTGACAACGCATTTTCCACTTCTTTACGGCGGGCAGCGGCTTCCTGTCTCTGCAGATGGGCACGCAAATCATTGAACCCAGAGGGGTCCACCAGAGATACACTGAAGCCCCGGATAAATCAGCGCTTCTGCACCCAAGGAAACTGAAACCGAAGAGCACCTGCTAGCTTGTAACCTTGTCTCCGCAGACATCGAGCAAACGATCGCGCTACCATCGCTCGGGGCGCGAGCGAGGAGGGCGGGGAACGCAAGAGTGCGTCGCGGACAAGAGCTCCAACAGACTGCCTGACACGGGTGGCCATCGTCAGCATCCTGGGGGGGTCGTGCTCCAGGGGGGGGGGGCGATGCCTACTAGCTCTTCAAGCTCACGAACGGCACGATCATATAGTTCGTCGTGATAAACCTACTTAGGAAGAGGCCGCTGACGGGCCGTCTGGTCAGATCTTGAACCCCAAGAGACCACTAGAGGAGCGTGATCTGAGAGGCCTTGCCGAAACAGTTCCTGAGGTTCGCCTAGGACTCGAGCTGACTGGAAGGATCGACAGAGAACCCATGGAGGAGAAGCGGTGGAACATCGATCAATGTTGCTCGCAGACTGCGTGCCCTCGCGCCAGTGCGTGGGCGCGTCCGACGCTAGCTCGGTCATCACCCTGGAGATTTTGCGCCAGATACTGTCACCAGGGCGCCCTGCTCTCGTCGAGACAGCTCGGGCCGAGGAACGCAAGGAACGCGAAGCTCTGGCTGATCCAGGTGCGCCAGCCCTTGAAGTAGAACCCGAAATCGTAGAAGCTCTGCCCCTTTCAGAGACTTCCTCGCGCTCAATCGCAGCGGCACGCTCACGGCCCTCAGCTGGGAGATAGAAGTCGCCAATCAGAATCACTGAGGACCTTGCAGGCGCACGCCTGACTTCACGGAGCTGCTCTCGGACACGCACCTGCAGCCGGAGAAGTTGCTCACGCTCGATCCCATGATTGTGGATATTCCAATGGTACAGTGTAAACCCACTTCGCACGCATACAATCTTGAGTAATAACACTCGCCCAGGAACCAAAACTTCAGGTGAGACTTCAACAGTATCAACCTTAGGAACTAATGTGAGAACACCTCCTGATCGCGGCGCCCCACTGTGCGAGACGAACGGGAGGTGGGTGATGGCGACGCGCTGGAGAGCCCCCCGAACTGCAGCATCATCACCGTGAACTTCTTGAACGGCAACTAATGCATCGGCTTGAGAGATCCCCCTCAGCATCCCCAGCCGCTTGGACATCTCCGTGGAGTTGAAGTGGTGGAGCGAACTCGCACTCCATGATGCTAGCGCAAGTTAGTCATGACCAAATATTTTGCTACCCAATCCACTGAACTTCACGATCGGAGAACGTCCTTCTTGCCAGCGATGCAGCTGCTTCCTTATTGAGGCCGGCGTCCGCGAGAGCAGCGATATTCCATTCCACATGAGGAACACGGGAGGATGAACTTGGTGTGATCTTGGCCAGCGGCTCCCCCACTTGGCGAGGAGCTGACCGCCTTCGCGATCGATGAAGGTTGTGACTCCGAATTCATATGAAATAGCACGTGGAAGTTTCTTGCGCGCCATCTCCGTGGCGATATTCTTCCGATTCTCGTCGGCCGATACGCACAGGGGGATGTTCTTGGTGACGAGCTGGATGTGGAAGCACCTCCACTGTCCAGATGGAAGGCGAAGTGCAGCTTGGGCCTGCTTGCGCCGATTCTCACGAGTAGCGGGATGTGGGCCCTGGAATACAAGCATGAACTGCTTCGCGAACTCGTCCCCCTGCAGCAGCACCTCCTCGCCGATAGAGATGTTGGCCGCCTGGGGCCACTGCTTGATGGCCCCTTTTCGACATTCTTCCGAGGGACTGGTTAAGGAACGCGCACATGCATGATCGTCTGTCCCAGTCGGCGGAGGCAATAGGGAGGTTGCGAGGTTTGGCTTTCGCCAGGTCGAGCTCGCGCTAAAGATGGGCAAGCCTTTCCTCCATGGCCGCGAACTTTGTCTCGACCGCGCTGACGCGCTGGGACTGTCTGTCGAGGTCTTGACGTAGAAAACGAATATGCTGATTGAACTTATCTTCATACTGGTTGAGGAGGGGGGCCGTGGCCTTGACCAGCGCACATGGGAGGGTCTCACTGAGGGTAGCCATGGCTTTCGCCGCGAACTCCTTGAGCGCTTGGTCCTTGAAATGCTGCAAAGAGCTCTGGGCCCAAGGGTCGAGATGAGCACCTGCTGGAACGTGCTCACCTGGAGGGCCCGCGGGCGTCGCACAGGGGCCGCCCTCTTGATCCGCGGATTGTACACCACCACGAAGCTCTTGCGATGGGAACGTTGCCACACCTTGAGTGTTGCCGCCCCATTCGCCCAGCATGTTGGCGTCGTCGATGCCATGCCCCCGTGCTCCGTACACTTCAGGCAGTGCGCGTGGGCTGGCAGAGACAGCAGGGGGGGTGGACACGGAGCATGCCCAGGCCGAGGCTGACGAAGCTGACCTCGGATGCTGGGGCGGGCGAGCCCGTCGTTGGAGGCAACAGAAGACAGATCGGAGCGAGGGGAAGCAACCCTGCGCGGACGCCGTTCACCATCCGGCTTCTTGCGGTCCCGCTTCTCCTTGGCGGAGTGCCGCACGACGCGCCTTCTTCCTGAGCGCTCGCCATCAGCTCCCATGCGGCACGGGTGTGGGAAGGGGAAAGCGGGCGGAATATCTGCCAGACACCAAGTGTCTTGCCAGCCGTGGACTAGCGGCATCTGTTTGTCTCCCGCGGAAAACAGGCATCTTGAGCCAAAATGGCTACGGGGGCGGAGGAGGAGGAGGAGGAGGGGGAGGAGAAGAGGGAGCAGGAGGGGAGGAGGAAGAGTTCAACCGACATCGGCTACGGAAGGACTCTCCAGGATCCACCTGACGGCTGCCTTCTGATGCTCCTTGAAGGACTTCAACCGAACCGAGAGGATCTCGTCGCACGGCGCACGTCGAACGTCATCGGCCGTCCTGGGGCCTCTCGGGGCCTCTCGGGGGCCTCTCGGGGGCCTCTTGCGAATCTATTGGGCCCTCCTGGGCGGCCTCTCGAAGTGGAAGGCTCCACTTGTCGGTTCGGGCTCCCCCATATTGGGCCTCTCTTGGGGCCGCGTTGGGGCCCTCCTGGGCCGTCGTAGGCGGCTCGTAGACCGTCTTGGGGCCCTCCTGGCCGCGTTGGCGAAGTCCTTCAAAAACACATAGATAATCAACGAATTTGGGCTCTCGGGGCTCTGTTGGGAGTCCTCTTGGAGCTTTCTTGTGGCGTCTGGGGGGCCTCTTCCGGGTTTCTTCGGAGCTTCTTGGGGCAGAAATCTCGAGTGGTCGGTTCGGGCTTCCGTCCTGGAGTCCCTCGTGGGGCCGGTTTGGGGCCCTCCTGGGCGTGCTGGGCGCCTCCTGGGCCATTTGGGGGCCCTCTCGGGTAGCCCTGGCGCCCTCTTGGGGGCTTCGCGGGCTTCATTGGGGCAATCCCGGGGGCCTCTTGGGCTGCTTTCGAGCGTCGGGAACCCGAGAAGGCGAGATGACCAAAATCCTTCGAACATCTACAGAAAATAAGCAGTTGTTGGCTCTCAGGGCTCTCTCAGGGGTCCTCGTGGGGCCTTCTTGCGGCGTCTGGGTGGCCTTTTGGAGGCCTCTTGGGGCTTCTTCGGGGCCTCTGGGGGCCTCCCGGGCGCCTCTTTTGGCGGAAAGCTCGAATTGCCGGCTGGATTTCCCAACCTTTTTTTTTCATCCGGCGCCAGTCTGCAGCAACATCCTGCGGGTCGTGGCGACAGCAGCCCCACACTGCTCCTGCGTCGAGCACTACTCTATCTGCAATTCGTGGCAAAAAATGCGCCCTTGTCGTCTGGCAAGGGATTCCGGAATGAACGCAGCCCGAAACGCGCACAAGCACCGCGAACGCTCGGACGAGCACCAGCGATACGGTCGGCTCACAGTCACGCCAATATGGTGACAGGGCCTCGTGCTTGAGTAGCTCAGTCACTTGGTCAGATCTCTCACTTGCTCAAGAGGTTCACTCCGCCCTGAAGGATCACGCGCGCAGCTTGAAACACCTCTGGCGGGCAGCCAGCGCTCGCATTGGCTTTCAACTCAGCCATCTTCTCCTCCATCAGTGCCATTTGTCTCACGCGCTGCAGCTGCGGCATGCACAGCGTCTTCGTCTTCTCGCCAGCGCAAGGGGGCTGGATTTCCCAATCTTGGGCTTCTCTTGGGCGCCTTTGGGGGCCCGTTTGGGCCGTCTTGAGCGTCTCTTGGGCCGTCCTGGGGCTCTCTTGGGCAGTCTTGGGGCCCTCTGGGGCGCCTCTTGGGCCGTCTTTGGGCGGTCTTGGGAGCTTCTGAGGTCGTCGCGCACGGACCGACAGCGAAAACAAGCAATATGTTAAACATCTACGTTTTACGAAGGGAATGGGGCTATTTTGGCCCCTTTGGGCTCTCTTTGGGGCCTTATTGGAGGTCGCTTGGGGTGTCTTGGGGGCTTCTGAAGCCGCCTTGGAGGCCATGTTGGGCGTCTGGGAGCGACCTTCGGGCGCCCCGGGTCTGTTCTGGAGCCTCTTGGGGCCTCCTTGGCGCCTTCTGGCGGCCTCCTGTGAGGCTCCGGGGCTCCCCGAGGGCCCCGGGGCCCACATTTGCGGCAGCGGCGCTGGCCCCGGGCGCCCGGGCCCGGTGCGCCGCTATATGTATATAGTGAGGGGTTGTAGGGTTGGGCGCGGCGGGCATTCGCATAATCTTGAAACTTTGGAACTTGAGCCAAAATGGGAAGCGGCCGATGATTGGCTGGTTGCCCTACTTGGTTCAAGGCCCTGAGCATGCCAGCTAGAATGTGCAGAGGCATCAAGTCACACATGCATGCCAAGCACAAGTACAGCACCCTGCCACACTCGTGATGGGTACACATATGCAGGATATTGGACTGGCTAGCTGGCCCAGTGGCCAAGGCTCGCGGCTCTATGGCCGAGATGCTAGCAAACCAAGTCGCTGACCTCGCCTAGGCCCTGGCTGGCCTGGGCCTGAGCTTGGGCGACTTCCCCGCTACTTCCTTTCTTCCTCGCCTCCATTCTTCGGGCCTGGGGGCGGAGTCACACGAGACAGAGAGAGGAATATCAGTCCCTATCGCTCTTCCATTTGTGCTGACATAAAACCACATGCTCAGGTCAAGCACAATATCCATCACGATAGCAAGCTCAGGAGCAGCCGCCCCCTTCCATCTAATTATCCTGGCGAAGGACCCAACCATATGCAAACGTGAATACCGCAGGGCCGGGGGGACGAAGCAAAAGGAATTCCCCATGCGGCCACGAACCGTGTGAGGGGTGCGCCACACTGGGGCGGGGCCGCCATGCGAACCCTGCCACTGAGGCCTTCGGTGGAGCTCCCTATGTCCCTGCGGGGCCACGAACCGTGTGAGGGGTGCGCCAGTATGGGGCGGGGCCGCCGTGCGAACCCTGCCATTGGGGCCTTCGGTGGAGCTCCCTATGGGGCCACGAACCGTGTGAGGGGTGCGCGAAAATGAGGCGGGGCCGCCATGCGAAGCCTGCCACTGGGGCCCTCGGTTGAACCCCCTATGGGGCCGCGAACCGTGTGAGGGGTGCGCCAGAATGGGGCGGGGCCGCCATGCGAACGCAGCCACTGGGGCCTTCGGTGGAGCTCCCTATGGGGCCACGAACCGTGTGAGGGGTGCGCCAGGATGGGGCGGGGCCGCCATGCGAACGCAGCCACTGGGGCCTTCGGTGGAGCTCCCTATGGGGCCACGATCCTCGTGAGGGGTGCGCCAGAATGGGGCGGGGCCGCCATGCGAACGCAGCCACTGGGGCCTTCGGTGGAGCTCCCTATGGGGCCACGAACCGTGTGAGGGTGTGGGGCGGGGCCGCCATGCGAATGGGGCCTTCGGTGGAGCTCCATGGGGCCACGAACCGTGTGAGGGGTGCGCAAATGGGGCGGGGCCGCCATGCGAACGCAGCCACTGGGGCCTTCGGTGGAGCTCCCTATGGGGCCACGAACCGTGTGAGGGGTGCGCCAGAATGGGGCGGGGCCGCCATGCGAACGCAGCCACTGGGGCCTTCGGTGGAGCTCCCTATGGGGCCACGAACCGTGTGAGGGGTGCGCCAGAATGGGGCGGGGCCGCCATGCGAACGCCCCCGCCCCCCTATGGGGCCTTGGGGCGGGGCCGCCATGCGAACGCAGCCACTGGGGCCTTCGGTGGAGCTCCCTATGGGGCCACGAACCGTGTGAGGGGTGCGCCAGAATGGGGCGGGGCCGCCATGCGAACGCAGCCACTGGGGCCTTCGGTGGAGCTCCCTATGGGGCCACGAACCGTGTGAGGGGTGCGCCAGAATGGGGCGGGGCCGCCATGCGAACACCACAGGATGGTTGGAAACTAATGGCCATGGCGATGATGATGACGATGATGACGCTATTGGTGACGATGACGATGATGATGATGATGATGATGACGATGATGGGAGAAGAGAGGAGGGCAGCGGGAGGTGAGACGCGGGGCGCTGTCTCTTCAAAACGAGGACCCAACACCACAGGATGGTTGGGAAAAAAGAGGACGCTGCAACCCCCCCCAACCCACCGAAGGGACGCGCCGTGAACTGGCCGACCCGCGACCCGCAACCCTGCAGGGCCCCGGGCCCCCATCGTGCCAGTCGCCGGACCTTTTCAAAAATATATTTGGGGACTCAGCAAGTATTCCTGTGAAGTTCCACCATGGTTGTGCTCTGGAGGCGGGGTTCTCCTCCAGAGACTTTCAATGGTCTTCCCGATCTATGCCCGAGCCCGGGATTGAAGCGGGGACCCCCGTCATCCCCGTTCATATCCTTATCCGCTCGAGCACTCACGCCATTGTGCCAGTCACCGGACGTGAGTCAACGGCCTTCCAGACGGGGACCGGGACGAGCTGTCGGAGAAACCGGGAGACGGATGCGACCGCGACGACTTATGGAAGACGTCCTCGAGCTCGAGTGGTTGATTCTAGCGCTGCGGAGCCTAGGCATTCTGCCGGCTCTCCAGTGGGGAACCCCCGCTTGTCCTGACCCCTGTCCGGGAAGCCGGTGGATTGGCCTGGGTGACCTCAGAGAAAAAGACGCGCTCCTAGAAATCCGGCTCCTACGGCGGAGCTACATACCAAGATCCCGCAAACCAAGATCTGTTGAGACAAAAATTCGAAACCTCCCGGCGCGGACTGTCACAGCGTGAGCCGCTGCGGCGCACACGGGCCCTTGACAGGCGGAGCCTCGCCTGGGGCGCCGGCGCCTAACGGCCCGCCGCCAGGGTGCATACATACATTTGCGCGGCGAACCGAAGCGAGCAACCCAATAGTAACTCAAGTCAAGCATTGCGAGATGCCCTCTTCTTCTGAAGCCCATCCTGCCATCTGGAAGAGAGAGAATACAACGAGTAGGTATCCATAGTACTGCAGGCTTTCGCCCCCAGGAGAAATACAGTTCAAATTAACAGAGAACGATGGGCCTGGGCATCTACTCTAGCCCTCCAAGGCCCATCTCTGATACCATATAAAGAGATCCATTCGAATACAGGCCAGGACCTTTCTGGCCATCACAAAAGTTGAAATGTGGGAGAATATAAGAGTGGATACTCCCGCGATACAGTTGGATCTTCATCAGGTTCGGAGTCACTGTCTGCCTCAAGGAGCCACTGAATGCCTGCATGTCCACAGGACTGCTGGTGCTGAAGGATCGCCTTCTTGGAGCCGAAGGTCTTCAAGCAAACCATGCAGCAGGGGATGTCCCCATGCCCCGTTGCCTCTTGGTGCTGAATGCACGCTTGCTCGGTTCTGAATTCCCTGTCGCACTGCATGCAGAACCATACGGGATCTCTCGTGTCATTCACCCGCACGTGGCCCTTATGGCCTGTGTCTTTCTGGTGCTGCAGGCACTGTTGTAACTCATCAAAGGCCCGATCGCACTGCGAGCATGCACACAGCGGCTCGCGCCCCTTGCAAAACCAATGTTTGCTAACCATCTGGTCCCAGTCCTTGAACGACTTCCCGCACTCCCTGCACACGAGGCGGGCGTCGGCGTCCTTCGCCTTGGCCTTGGCCTTGGCGTTGTCCGTCTTGGGGTTGTCCAATGCGTGGGAGAAACGGCAGGCCGTCCCATTCTTGCACTTGCCCTGCCGGAAGAATGAGCAAGGCGGCTTGTGTGCGAACGGGCAGGCCGCGCCGTTCTTGCAGGCACCCTTCGCATAGTACCGGCATTCCTGCTGCTGCTTCTGGCCCCCCGCGTTGGAGCTGCCAGGCGGGCTATCAGCTGGTTTGTCCCCTGCCTGTTTGTCCTCAGCCTTGGCCTTGGCCTCCGGACTGGCAGCTGATTTGTCCGCTGCCTGTTTGTGCTCAGCCTTGGCCTTGGCCTTGGCCTTGGCCTTGGCCTTGGCCTTGGCCTCCGGACTGGCAGCTGATTTGTCCGCTGCCTGTTTGTCCTCAGCCTTGGCCTTGGCCTTGGCCTTGGCCTCCGGACTGGCAGCTGATTTGTCCGCTGCCTTTTTGTCGTGCGCGTTCCCTTTCGCTGCACTGTAGCGCTCGAAGAACTCCTCCTTCTCGATCCACTCGACCCTGACTCGGAACTGTTCGTCCTCCATCTCCTTCTTGATCGCCCGCACCAAATGCGGCTGCCGAGCCATCTCCGAGTCGCAGTTCTTGCCGCCTGCGATGCATATGATCAGGGCCTTCTCCGCACCCATGGTCTGGGCCTTCGTCACGGTGGCCATGACCACCTTGGCCTCCCACTTGGGGATCCAGTCCTTGCCGCTGAGAGATTTCACCATATCGCCTGCCTTGCCAAACGCCTTCTGGATCCCGTGCTGCCTGCACAATGCCGCCACCTCGTCATGAAAGGCCTCAGGGCAGGAGGCGCAGACTGCCGCCTCCATGGTTTCCTGCAGCCGCCCCTTCCGGCTCCGACCCCGCGCACCGCCGGTGCGCTACAGGTGGACCAGCCGCAGACTTGAGTCAAAATGGCTTCTACAAATTAGCGATATAGAATCATGGAACCTAGGTGATGTACATTATGTTGAACTCAAAGTGCATGAAAACGTCTGGAACAAACTCTTTGTCCGCCTCCAGGGACCAGAACTCCCGGCCTACAGCCGAACCTTCCCAGAAGAGACTCCTGGAGAACCCGCTTTGACTCAAAAGATCGTGAAACGCCGCACCAATAAACTACACGGTGCGTTGAGAACATCCACCCTCTCCATTCAAAAGGCTGTTGGACTCAAATTGCTTGACCACCTCCAACGACCAGAATTTCCCGGCTTATTTTGTCTTTTTGGACTCAGCGAGTATTCCATTGAATTTCCATCAAGGTTGTGCTCTGGAGGCGGGGTTCTCCTCCAAAGACTTTGAATGGTCTTCCAGATCTATGCCCGAGCCCGGGATTGAACCGGGGACCACCGTTATCCCTGTCCATATCCTTAACCATTCGAGCACTCACGCTATTGAGTCGAACAGGTCACTGTGAAGACAGGCAAGAGATAAGAGGGCGATAAACGCAGCCCGTGGAAACGGTGTCATCTTCGAAGGGAGAGCGGTTTGTACGTTTCCGTTGTTTGGGGGTTCTTGCGCGGTGTCGCAATTTGTTTTTATGTGTTTCCTCTTTGCTTCGCGCTCTCACTGCAGTTAGAGGTAAACTGATGTTTCCCCAAGGTCAGAGAAACTTGGTTTAGCAAAGCAATCAACAACAGGGTTTTGCACACAGCTTGCTCTTACAAAACCTGAGGAAATAAGGGGGGGTGGAATAGCTATCCTCGAGCAGTGGGGGGCGGGTGGGGGGATGTGCGAAAACATGTGTTTAAACATGTGTTTGTGTTGTTGGTTGATTCCCTTCGGGGGTCATCTTTTAAAATTGGAACGATACAGAGAAGATGAGCACGGCCCCTGCACAAGGCTGACGCGCATAAATCGAGAAGTGTAAACAAATGAATATATACAAGTGCACGTGAATGGGTTTGCGCGTTTGCGTGCGGACGGCCCAGAGCGCCCGGCCGCCTGGAAAGGTATGATATCATATGATATATAGCACAGTATGATAGAATGTAACTTAAGGTTATATAGTATAACGTATCAATGCTAGCCGCGATAGCTCAGTTGGAAGAGCGTCCGTCTCACTAGCGAGAGGTGGCGGGTTCAATTCCGCCTGCGGGCCACTGAGCGGGTTACGCATAAGACTAGCACAAAGACTCCGGAGGATGCATCCTAGTCCCGACCTAGTCGGCGAGGCAGGATCTCTCGCCGCCTCCGGAGTAAACCCTGAGGGAAATTGACTGGAAGACTCACTGAGTCCACAAAAAACATGATATATGTATAGTATGATATAACGTAACAATGTAATAATGATACAATACAACTGTAACCTGATATGATACAATACACCAATGTAATGTAACGTAATGTCAGGACCGGGAGCTGGAGGTGCGCTCGCACCTCGTCTCGGAGTACCTCGCGCGCGTCGGCTGCGGCGAAGGCCCGCTGCAGGGCTCGGCCCTTGCCGAGGCCAGGGGCACTATGTTGTGTGTATATGTATGTATACACGCATGTATACGCACATGCTCATACACACATAATATATATATATATATATATATATATATACATACATAGATATATTCATACACATATATATATATGTATAGACAGATGAATACCCGCATCTCTATATCTATATATATCGTTATAAATATACATATATATGGGCCACTGAGCGTTTCTGACCGTCGATGACAATGTCTCCATTCCTTCCCTTGCTTCCTCCCATCCCCTGCACACCTCCCTCATCATCTCATTCCCTCCTTTCTCCACCCCTCTCTCTTGCCCCCCTCGTCTTGCGACACTTGCGACACAGGCAGCGGATAGTCGAGCTCGCAACTCGCAACGTACAATTGCTTGGCTCATCACGTCTGCCAGCGGAGGAGGAAAGGGACGAGGAGGTAGAAGACGGGAGGAGGATGGAGGAGGGAGGAGGAATACCCTCCTCGTATCCCCCGTCCTCCTCATCGTCATCATCATCAGCATCAGCATCATCATCAGAAGCATCAGCAACATCATCGTCATCATCATCATCAGCATCATCATCAGCATCATCATCAGCATCATCATCAGCAGCACCATCAACATCATCAGCAGCAGTAGCAGCATCACCAACATCATCATCAGCAGCATCATCAGCATCATCACCATCATCAGCGTCATCATCATCACCATCATCATCACCAGTATCGTCCTTCTTCTCCCCCACCTCCTTGTCCTCCTCCTCCTCCTCCTCCTCCTCCTACTCCTCCTCCTCCTCCTCGTGCGTGCAAGCATGAGGACGACGACGGCGGCGACGATCTTGGGCCGTATTGGGCCGTCTGCACGCTCAAGAGACCCCCAGACTGGCCCAAGCCGGCCCAAGAGACCTTCAAAATGGCCAGCGGACGGCCAAGGAAGGCCCCAAGACGGCCCAAGAGGCCTCCAAGACGGCAAAAATTAGCCTGGCGAAAGACCCTACCATATGCAGTTGTAAATACCGCAATTGTGAATACCATCTTCGCCCACGCTCCGTATGTGGCCACGGCTTCCCGCCGGAGCCCGACATGCTCACGGACACGTTCGCGGCTGTCTTCGCGGGCGCCGACGAAGTCAAGGACGGCGCCCCGATGGGGCCACGAAACGTGTGAGTGGTATGCCGAAATGGCCCGAGGCCGCCATGCGACTTCCGCCACTGGGACCTTGTGGACCTCCCTATGGGGCCACGAAACGTGTGAGTGGTATGCCGAAATGGCCCGAGGCCGCCATGCGAGTTCCGCCACTGGAACCTTAGGTGGAGCTCCCTATGGGGCCCCGAAACGTGTGAGGGGTGTGCCAAAGTGGCCAGAGGCCGCCATGCGAGTTCCGCCACTGGGACCTTAGGTGGAGCTCCCTACGGGGCCACGAAACGTGTGAGAGGTGTGCCAAAATGGGCGCGGGGACCACATGCAAGTTCCGCCACTGGGACCTTGGGTGGAGCTCCCCTGTGGGGCCACGAAACGTTGGAGGGGTGTGCCGAAATGGCCCGAGGCCGCCATGCGAGTTCCGCCACTGGGACCTTGGGTGGAGCTCCCTTATGGAGCCACGAAACGTGTGAGGGGTGTGCCAAAATGAGTGCGGGGACCGCATGCGAGTTCCGCCACTGGGACCTTGGGTGGAGCTCCCTTATGGAGCCACGAAGCGCGTGAGGGGTGTGCCAAAATGGGTGCGGGGCCCGCATGCGAGTTTCGCCACTGGGACCTCAGGTGGAGCTCCCTATGGGGCCACGAAACGCGTGAGGGGTGTGCCGCAATGGGTGCGGGGACCGCATGCGAGTTCCGCCACTGGGACCGTAGTTGGAGCTCCCTATGGGGCCACGAAACGTGTGAGGGGTGTGCCGACAGAGAGACATGCGGAGGGCAGAGGCAAGGAGGGGGAGGAAGAGAGGCAGCAGGAGGAGAAGGTAGGAAGGAAGGAGGACGCGGGCGCTGTCCCTTTAAAAAGAGGACCCAACACCACAGGATGGTTGGGAAAAACATAATGTGGCCCGAAGAGAGTCGCAAGAGGGGGAACCCGCAGAGGCCCTCGGAGCCTTCCCCCAGAAGATAGCCGCCAAGACACCCAACTGGGTTCACGAGGCCCCCAATAAGCCCCCAAATGGCTCTCAAATGGCCCCCACCCCCCCCCGGGAGCCTCGACAAAGCTTTAAGAGGCCGCCACCCGGGCCGCCAGCAGGCCCCGAAGAGTCTCCCACAAGCTCCACGAGGCTTCAAAAATGCCCAAACTAGACCCCCCAGAGTCCCCCAAGAACCCCTAAAGACACCACCTGCCTGCACGATGGGGGCCTCAAACACAGCCTGGACAACATTACAAACCGTCCCGTTGTCCTCGATATCGTCCTCCCTTTTCTTCCTTCCTCTCACCGTGGTCGTTTCTTATGTGTGCCTTTCCTCCTCCTTCAATCTCCGAATCCAAAGATGAGCAGATTAGATCGACCAGCTGCGACGTCACTCCGGGAGCATCTCGCTTGATGTGCGACGCGCAACATATGTCAGCGCCCCCTCCCGAGAAGCGCAGGAGAAGTGAGACCCATGCGCAGAGTAGCGACTGCGCGGCGACCATTCCCCCCACGCACCCGAACACTTGAAGGCATCCCATGTGCGCGCCGGCGTCAGAGGAACAGCCAGCAAGCGCCCAGGAAACTCTGACGAGGCTTCAAGACGCCCACCAAGACGCCGACGAGGCCTCACTTCGTCTGGGGGTCGGCGGAATGGCGAAAGCCCATTGAACAACAATCAACATCAACATCAATATCGTCATCGTCGCCATCATCAGCAGAAGCATCATCATCAGCATCATCAGCATCATCATAATCATCACCATCACCATGATCACAATAATCCCCATCCTGATCATAACCGCAATCGTCATCAACACCCGTTATATGACCAATATTGCCCGCATCAACGTCATCACCCTGATCAACTTGGATTTACAAGGGATCCTCATCGTTACCATAGTCACCGGCATGCTCTTCCTGCTGCTCAACCCCATGTTGATATTCCTCTTCGTCCGCCTCCTCCTCATCCCCTCCTCCTCCTCCTCTTGTTCCTCCTCCTCGCACAGCTCCCCCATGGTCCTTCACCTCCTCCTGCTCCTGCTCAGCGCAGTTAGCGGCGCTCCTCGTGTCCCCGGTCGTCGTGGACCCGGTCGTCGCGGCAGTGGGTCTGCTCCTCGAGTCAACGCTGTCGTCATGGCCGCCACCGTCGTGGTCGTCATCGCCTCTTCCCTTTCCTGACCCTCCTCCTCCTCCAACTCCACATCCTCCTTCTCCTCCTTCTCCTCCTCCTCCTCCTCCGCCTCCTCCTCCTACCCCTCCACCCTCCTCCTCCTCCTCCTCCTCCTCCTCCTCCTCCTCCTCCTCCTCCTCCCCCTCCTCCTCCTGCTCAAGCAATTGTGCCTCGGGTCCATTTTGGCGAGCCCCACTTCTGTGCCTGCACGAGGTGCTTGAGGCACTGCGCGTTGACCGCACCGTCAGAGGCGGTTGCTAGCGTAGACTAAAGCAGAAGTGTCAGAGATGGCGTGCCGTGCTTGGAGCACAGGCGGTGGATGCGTACCAGTGGTTGGAACGACCTCCTGCTCGCCGCCGATCGCGACAGGTGCTGCAGGAAGTGCAACAGACAGGTCAAGATCTACAAGCCCAAGGGCGGCTGGGAGTCGGCAGCGGGCTCCAAGTTGACGGGCGCCTTGTCGGCCAAGACCACCGTCGAAGAGTTGCTGCTGCAGGCCAGCAAGCTGTCAAATGACCCCGTGCTGGAGTTGCTGCTCAACAGTCGGGTCGCCAAGGCGGCAGCCCCCTCGGAGACGGTCTCGCCTAAAGTTCCCCCTGCGGAGGCGGTCCGCAAAGCCGAGGGAGCGTGGCGAGAAGCTACAACGAAGTACGAGCAAGCCGTCGCACAGGTCAAGCGTTGCCAGGAGAATCTTGATAGGACGCAGCTGAAGGAGTCGGAATCGCTCTAGAGGCTGGCGGTTGCGGAGCTGGCCAGGAAGAAGGCTGCTCAGGCGCTCGCCAACGAGGCGGGCATTGTGAAGCCTGCCAGTGGCCTTGTGGACCTCACGTGGGACACCGAGTTTTTCGCCTCCCTGGACTCGTTGGAGTGCGAGCCGTCCGAACACGACGAGCTCCGCAGGTTCGAAGAGGACTTGAGGACGACCAGAAAGGACCTTCCGGCCAAGTCAGCTACGATAGCAGAGCGGAAGCAGAAGGTCAGCGACATGAGGACGGCCATCGAGGAGAGGACGGCCAAGAAGAGGAAGACGGCGCAGGAGGCATCCAGCGGCCCCAGCGGCGGCTCCACGGCCAGTGGCGCGGCAGCCTCCTCAGCAGCACCCGCGGCAGCCACGTCGACCAAGGGCGACAGCGTGGACGGCGGCGGGCACTCAGAGGCCGAGATCCAGCGTGAGATGAATCGCATCAAGCAGGCCAAGGAGCTTGCCAAGGCGGCTGGGGAGCAGGCGCAGCCGCCTGCAGCCTCAGGCCAGGCAGCCTGAGCAGAGGCTCCCGCCGAGGACTCGTCGGCACCCTCGGCCTCGCTCGGGAGCCAGTCGGCGATCGACGACGACGGGCGCCAGGAGTCCATGCACGCCGATAGGGAGGATAGCGAGAAATGCAAGTTGTTTTTCGCCAACATCAATCATCAGGGCCAGCGTGCTTGGAAGTTCTTGTCCGGCGCGGAGCAGCTCGCCGGGCGCCAGTTCATTGGGCCGGTGGGGACGCATGTACAAGGGCAGGGTGTTACTCGTGATGAGTGGGCTCGATGTGCGCAGCAGATCCACTGGAAGTTTTTGGGCAACAGAGCTAAGCCTACGGGCAGAGCCAGTTCGGAGTCTACTCAATCCCGTGCCACTGAGGGTGGCGAAGTTTTGCTGGCTAGGATGTACCGTCACGCACATCGTTTCACAGCTCATGCGCACGAGCACCCTGAGCTGCGCGCGCCAGGCACCAAGTCCTTCCACGGTTTCATGGCCGTCACGGTGCATCAGCAGGGCCTTCTCCTTCGTTTTTATTATTTACTACGGCCATTGCTCGGTTGGCTTCAGAGGACAACGTAGGGCGTCTGTCTCGACTCGGAGCCGTCATCAGCTGCCTACGTCTTCCTTGGTGTGTTGTGGGTGACTGGAACATTGGTGTTGAGTCAATGGCACGGTCGACGTACCTGAAGAAGATTGGCGGGCACAGTATCAAGTCTGAGGCGATTCACACTTACGTGCCCAGCCAGGGCGGCTCTCACATCGATTATGTGATCGTGAGCCCTTCGTGCATTCCCTACGTCACCGAGGTCCGCACTGTTGAAGCGGTCCCTTGGAAGCCGCACTGTGGCCTCTCCATCACTTTTCGCAGCAATGGTCTTCAGTTGCTCACACGTGCGCCCGTTGCCGCGCCTCGCTTGCCGCAGCAGCCTCGGCCGAGAAAGAGGCCACGGCCGGGTCAAAAGCTAGTCGTGCCAACATTGAATCTCGTGAGAGGGCCGAACGGGTCCGAGCTAGAAATAAGGCCGTCAGTTGCGAGTTGCTCCTGATCTCCTTATTTCTGGCACCCACCCCTCCACCTCTCAAGGTAGCCCCGTCAGCCTTGAGGGTGCTCTTGGCGAGGCTCAGTGGCCCCGGGACGCTGGAGACGACACTGTTTTCCCCTTTGATCTTGAGCCCGAGGATGAAAAGGATCCTCGGGTCCACGAATTGCGTTTCGCCCTTCCTCCTAATCGTCGGAGCGCGCATCCCAAGTCTCAGTCTAGCGGAGACGGCGCCGACAGCGAGGAGCGAGTCAGGGCAAGTAATAGATTCCAGGGTAGCGCTGTAGGTGTCATTGCGGGGGGAACAGGGGCCCAACCTCGCGATGGCCCCTGGGAGTCGAATCTTTCTAAGTCCCATGCGGATGCTGGTGCCGCGCCCTCTTTCTCCATCCCCGCTGTTTCTTTGTCCGTTGCCGCCTCGGCTCAAGTTTGGGGTTCGCACGCCATCGCAGCAGCCTGGCCAGTCATCAGAGAGTCTTTCGCTTTCGCTGCAGGCCAGCAATATATATATATATATATATATATATATATATATATATATATACATACATACATATACATATACATATACATATACATATACATATACATATACATATACATATACATATACATATACATATACATATATGCACATGTATACATATGTGTATATATATATACTTCAGGTCAGTCGTCGCTACGCGACGTGGATGAGGACGGTTGAGCAGGCGGTCGGCACGCGCCACGAGGTCGACGCTCCTCGGCAATCAAGGGCGTCGGGTTTTGAGCTGGCGGTGGCTCCAGTCAAGCAGCCAGCACGCGTCCGAGAGCAGCCGTTGCATGACAAGGTCTACGCGACTCTCGTCAAGATCGCTCGGCATCGCGTTAGGCAGAACGGAATCATTCAGGTGGCGCACTTGGTCGAAGCAGCATCGAAGCTCGTGGCCACGGTACCATAGGGCGCTGCAGCACTTAGCGGTCCTTGTTTGGGCAGACGGGATGAGGTTGTAGCAGAGATACGCGGTTTGAGCGATTTAGACAACGATCGTTGATGATTCGGGGGAGATTGGTCAGATCGCGGTGCTACGCGGGCGCTAGCACGAGCGACGGTTGCATCGTTGCGTGATTTCCAGAGTTGGATAGCGCCAGTCGGTTCGATTGGTATTATTCACCAGAGTATCAAGACACCAGCCCACGATGCGGTCGAGTTACAAAACGGCCTAGAGCGTTTGGTGCATCCAGTGGACATCATCGGCAGGAAGGCAGTTGAATGGCAGGAGTTGTGGAGCTTTCAGCCTTTGTCTTTTGAAATCACCATGTCAATGCGCAGTCGCATGCGGGGCCAGGCGAGAGTGGAACAGCTGGAGCCACTCACGGTTGACAGTCTGCGTCGAGCCGCGCGGCCCATGAAGGCCAAATTTGGGCTTGGCGCGGGCAGGATGCCCCCAGTTGACTTCGAGCGCCTACCAGGCTGCGCGCTCGAGGAGCTACGTGACGTCTATCAGCCCGTCGAAGCCCGCCTCCGTTGGCCATGGCAAGTCGCGGCAGTGGTGGGCCGACTTTTGGGCGAGAAGTCAGGAGGCGACAGGGCCATCGGCCTCATGGCCATGCTTTGCCGTCTATGGAGCATGGCTCGCGAGGGCCAGATGCGCCAGCGGGCCCGCGATGAGGGGCCCACGCCGGACGCGGCTGTCGCGGGCAACAGCGCATTGAGAGAGGCATTCGCGAGAGTGTCGCGGGAGGGTCTGCGCGTCAAACTGAGCGCCCCTCACGGTCAGGCGCTCCTTGACATCGGCGCCTTGTATGAAAACATCGCATGGCCTATACTTGCCCTGTGCGCATTGAGGTTGAGACCCCCGCTAGTTATATTGTTTCTGGAGCTTCACCTGTGCTTGACAAGCACAGGTGAAGCAAACCATACCCTTGCGTAACGAGTTTTGCGTTTTCGAGGTCAATGCGGTCCGCGCGCGCGTTGGCTGCAGACTCGAGCAAAACGAATTGCCCACGCGCGAAGCGCTCTCGGGGCACGACCGGCGCCGCCCCAAAGGAATTCGCAAACAGAAGTCATGAAGTGCAGCAAGTGTGCCGCGCAGCTTCCTCGATCGAGTCGGAATGCGCGCTTGTTTGGCGGAGTTGGCGAAGGAGCAATGGGAGCATCGCTGCCATTCTTGCGCGTGCGTCTACAATGTTTTCAGATGCGGCACCATCGCATCTGCATCTTGGGGCGCGAGCGGCTTCGCAACTAGAGGAAACATATGATTGCCCGCTGACACTTTTCGGTGCTATTGTTGACTCGATCATCTTAACCACTCGCGTGCGTTTTGTGTTTGTCTCAGAATCAATGCTCGACAGTGGCCCCTCGCGGAAATTGCAGGGATTTGACAACAACTCGCCGTCGATTTCGGCTGACGCCCGGGGCCCCGCTTTCCTAGGTTACCGAGAATGTTAGGATATGCGGGGGTTGCCAGACGATTGATGCTGGCGGTCGGACTCCGGAGCTCGCGGTTTCCCTCGAGCGAGCTGGGCGAGGCCCCCCCCCCCCCCGAAGCCGCAACGAGGCTCCGAAAAAAGGTCTTCTGAGGCCCCCAAAAGAGCTCCGAGAGGGCTCCAAGCCGACCCCCAGTGGGCCCCAGGTCAAGGTGCACGGTGCATCATGCAACCGCAATGGCATGGCGGGG